AACTTTTTTTGTGGCTTTCTGTTGGCCTTTAAAGATTTCCCAGTCTACTAGTTTCCCACTAATCTTTGCTTTTTTGTCTGTATTTTTTTTCAATCTGACACTTTCCTTTATTTCCTTAGACATCCATGGCTGGCTCTCTCTTTTCCTACAGTTCTTCGTTATCACTGGAATATACTACTGCTGAGCACTGTGAAAAATCGTTTTGAAAGTCCTCCACTGATCCTCAATTGACCCACCATAAAGTTTTTGCTCCCATTCTACCTTAGCTAACTCCTTCCTCATTCCTTCATAGTCTCCTTTGTTTAAGCACAGGACATAGGTACTTGATTTAACCTTCTCACGCGCCATTTGTATTTTAAATTCGACCATACCGTGATCGCTCCTTCCGAGAGGATCCCTAACTGTGAGATCATTAATTATTCCTGTCTCATTACACAGGACTAGATCTAGGATAGCTTGCTCCCTCGTAGATTCCATTACATATTGTTCAAGGAAATTATCGCGGATGCATTCTATGAACCCCTCCTCAAGGCTGCCATGACTGACCTGGTTTGACCAATCGATATGTAGATTAAAATCCCCCATGATAATTGCCGTACCATTTTTACATGCATTAGCTATTTCTATGTTTATTGCCCGCCCCACCACGATGTCATTATTTGGTGGCCTATAGACCACACCTATCAGTGACTTCTCCTCCCTGCTATTCCTAATTTCCACCCAAATGGGTTCAACGTTTTGTTCAGTAGAACCTATATCATCTCTCACTACCGCCCTGATATCATCCTTAAAAATCAGAGCAACACCACCTCCCTTACCTTCCTGTCTGTCCTTCCGAACAGTTTGAGAACCCTGGATATTTAACTCCCAGTCATGGCCATCCTGTAACGGCCACTAAATCATACCCATGATCATCCAACCCTGTTCCCCCTTTCTCCCCACACCTTTATTACTTCTTGGGATTGAGACTGGACCATGGGTGCAAACTCTCACTCAATAAACAGCTCAGCAAAATACCTTTCACATTTATGCCCACAACTAAAATCTCTAGGAGCCATCTTGGTTAAGCTGGGCAACCCTTGGGAACCACTGTGTCCTCTGCTCTAAACAGGTTTACAAACCCAATGATTGACTTGTCAGTCTAATCCATCATGATTTCTTTCTCCACCCTTCTCTCTGTAGCCTCATGTGGAAGCTCTTTGACTGGGACACAAGCACATACTGAACCAATTCAAGTCCAATGATTACCAGCCTGACCTGGCAACTCCTCCACAATAGTAGGAAGTTGTCGAACTAAACTGAACACAAGTTATATTTGACCTGCACCTAACTGAACTCAGTATACTGCATCACACATTCCCTGATGTGGAAACTGCCCACCCCAACTTCATTTTAACACAATACTTTAGGATCCATAAATAAAATGGGGTCACGTGATGGGGCTTCTCAAACTGTCTAAGATATGCAAGTAGCAATTAAAAGGGCCTCCTGTGGAGCATGCTCAGAGCTATTACCACATGAGAAAAAATCCATGAGGTTGTGCTGGTTGGCTGAGTTAACCTTGTCTTATAGTTAGAACAGCATATCAAATGAAAATCAGTATATTATAGTGTCTGGCAGCTTTTTGCTCAAGTACATGCTTTTTCAATGCCAGCTGCATAGCAAATTGTATTTCAACCATGAATGACATTAAAAAACATAACCCAGAATAAAGCTTAACAAAGTAAGCCCACTCAATGACACACTGCCTAGTGGGTAGAAAAGACAAGCTTTTCATAGGCAGGTTGAAACACTGCTAGAGATTGTCCTCAACTATATTTTCAAACTTCAACGTAAAGGACTCAAACAGAAGTCACCTCTGCACAAGATTCACTAAAACCACCATCCATATTATTTCCTGATGTTGCCTTCTGTTAGTAGTTCAAAACTACAGGCAAAAATCAATTGATTGATTGCTTGAAAAACACAGACACATTCAATTCCATACAAACCAAAAAGAAAATAGATGAAGGAAATGTTATTCAAAGTAGCCATGCTTTACATAATATTCTCTCACTTAAATCACAGTAAAAAGAACCAAAATATAATTGCCAAATACTACAAAATAAACATACTGGAATCAATTCTTGAGATAGTAAGAACTGCTGATGCTGGAGTCTGAGATAACACAGCTGAGCTGGAGGAATACAGAAGGCCAGGCAGCATTAGAGGAACAGGAAAGCTGATGTTTTGGGTCAGGACCCTTCTTCAGAAATGGGGGAGGGGTAGGGGGCTCTGAAATAAAGAGAGAGAGAGGAGGGGTGGGGCTGGGGAAGGTAGGTGGGGTGGTGATAGGTGAGTGCAGGTAGGCAATGGTGGGGTTTGGTCAGTGAGGTGGGAGGAGTGGATAGGTGGGAGAGAAGACGGACAGGTCAAGGAGGCAGGGATGAGGGAGGGTCGGTCATGGGATGGGGCCGGGAGGTGGGGAGACCCAATGGTCTCAATGTGGACTTTACTAGCTTCAAAATCTCCCCACCCGCCCCGGCATCAACCCATGACCAACCCTCCCTCTCATTCCTGCCTCCTTGACCTGTCCGTCTTCACTCCCACCTATCCGCTCCTCCCACCTCACTGACCAATCCCCACCACTGCCTACCATCACCCCACCTACCTTCCCCATCCCCACTCCTCCTATCTATTTATTTCAGAGCCCCCTACCCTTCCCCCATTTCTGAAACGCCAGATTTCCTGCTCCTTTGATGCTGCCTGGCCTGCTGTGTTCCTCCAGCTCCACACTGCTATCTCAGAATCAATTCTTGATGCTTCCAGGTTTTGTCATAACACTACACTGAGTAACTGGCCATCAGTGGATATGGGGGATAGAAGAATTAGTGATACTACTAACCTGGGAAAGCCACGATAATTGCTACTGTGGACCCTCACTCATTGTTTGCCATCACTTTTCACACTCTGATTTCCAGTAAATTTCAGAACTAAAAAAGGAAAAATGTCCCATTGGCTTTTCCCAGAAAACTGATCAGATCGGATTCGGAGCTCAGTCAGCAGTGCTTCAAATTACATAACTGAATTCACACTCAAATCACACACCTTTTTGTATACTTCACAAACAAAGCACGTATCGCAGTCGTCCTGAACTTTAGCTAAAATGTCATTGGCACTACAAATGAAGCTGGTACAAGATTGTGTGCTATTTGTCTTCCCCCTCACAACAGACATTTCTAGAAGAAATTGAACTCATGCATCCTACGCTTGCACAATCATGTGGGCTGAATTTGTTCCTTTTATTCCCTTTACATCCATTAATAATGGTGTGCTTCATATGCTGAATCTTTAAGAGAAGTTAAGTCATTGAGGATCTACATGTTACAAGGGTGTAAATTTTGCTGAAGGCAAGGATAAGCACTGTTTAAACTCTGTGGCAAATGACTGATAAAGAGCAATAATTAAGGGTCTCATGCCCCTGTAATAATGAGTAGGTAAACTCCAGCCTCAAGCTAGCAAAAGTAGGCATTGGACTGGTCTAATTCTCTCAACTGATATGGGCAAGAGTCTTTTCTATTCAGATTACAGAAATGCTAAACTTTGAATCTAAATCAATTTGAAGACTTGGTCAACAAAACAGAAAAAGTTTTGCTGAGAAGAAAATGCATTTAACGTTCAATTCATGGTTTAAGCTAGCAAATGTTGCTTTTCCAGAGTTTTTTTTTGAAAAGGGGAAGACAAGATATATTGCAGATACTGAATTCTAAATTCAAAACCAGAAAATTCTGAAAAACTGAAGCAGAATCTGTGTAGAGAGGATAAGAAACAATACGGATGAGAAGTCACCAACCTGAAAAGTTAACACTCTCTCTCTTATAGCCCAATCTGCTCGATGCATCAACATTTTTGATCTTACTTTATATCTAACTTCTTAAAATTCTTTCATGGGATGTGGACATCACTAGCTAAGCCAGTTTTTATTGCCTATTCCTAATTGCCCAGAGAGCAGTTAAGAGTCAACCACATTGCTGTGGGTCTGGAGTCACATGTAGGCCAGACCAAGGGTAAGGATGGCAGTTTCCTTCTCTAAAAGGACATTAGTGAACCAGATGGGTTCTGTCCCCCCTGACAACTGGCAACTGTTTCATGGTCATCATGAGGCTCTTAATTCCAGATTTGAATCTGGATGCTCAGAACATTACCTGGGTCTCTGGATTAACAGTCCAACCATAATACCATTAGGCCATCACCTCCCCTACTTCTCATACTTTAGAAGAAAAATCAGGTACAAGTTCAGTGTTAGTCAATTACCCACTACACTGCTATTCTCAATAAACTTTTGAAATCTGAAATGAGCAATAGTATTGTTGTTAGATGAGGTAGGATTCATTTCAGAACAGTCAAATGTTGTTAAACAACAAAGACTACATGGGAAATTTCCATAAATGCAGAGAAAGGTAGTCCTAATCAAAACTACGAAAAAGTCTCTCAAAGCCTCCAGCAAAACGTAGAGCATGATAGAAATGATGTGCATAAAATCAACCCAGTCATTTAACACTTGTCTCCGGATATGACAGACAATAATCTCTATTCTGGCTGGGAACAGTGCAGCCTGTATGCAGCCTTTAAGTTCACAAAGATATTATTGTAACCAGATAATGAGAGAGACGCTGCTAATGGATAATACTTACTAAAGACTGGACTACAGACATCAAACAGGCTTGCTGCAGTTCTGCTGGAAGACAGGCAAAATTCTTTCCAGACCAGCATTTCACAAAATATTTGGTAATCCATCTGCAAAAACATCCAATTTTAGAGCAATTTTTGTTTCCAAAAGGAAGTTGTATTGTGCACCTGCAAATTCACATCAAATTAATCATTTTACCTCATACAGGAACTGTAAAGACCATCAATTCCAACGGAATGAGATATCTGCAGGCACTCCAGAATAGATTGCTGCATTCCAATAACAGGCTATAAATTAATTGAAAGAAAATCAATAAGGAAAAAAAGGCAGTTTGCATTTACGGAATGTATTTAAAATTAAATCTCTCTCTCTCTCTCCATGAGTGCACTGGTAATATAACACATTTCAACAAAATCTAAACAAAACAGACAAACATCTTAAGGCTACAGTTTCTACTGCAAATCAAGTTTGAGCTCGAATTTGATTTTTTTGGCAAATATATCATCTGTGGTCTCAAAAACATGCCATCCGCTCTCTGCTCAACAATATCAAACAGACTCATTCTGTGCAAACAGTAGTCACTATTCACTCAAATCCTCTGGTGTTGTTCAAAAAAAAAAATCACAATTGTAACAATTGCAAAGAGTCTGTTTTAAAAGTACAAATAAAATTCCAAAAATAATTCTAGAAATAAAAAAAGCTATAAATCAGCAACAAGGAAGTCAGCATTATTGAAATCTCTGAAGAATTGAAGGTCACCACTTGCTTCATCATACAACCAACCCCTTGAAACCTCGGCAGGTGTGTAACAAACATGACTGGTTATTAAATACCCAAGGTGTGGGTTTCAACAAACGGACTTCTTGCAGTTGCTGGAAAACAAGCAAAGCTTCTTGCCTGCAATGTGAAGCTATTACCAGAAGATATTAAGGTGTCAACTGCTATATATCTGAAACCAAAGCAACAGTAGTGTAACATGCAAGTGGATCACCATTTAAAACATATTGAATGGATACAGTTTAGAGATTGGATGAGCTAGATATATATCTGTTGACAAAAAACTTTTTTTTTTTTTTAAAAAGAAAATCATTGATATCTTCTCTGCTTTCATGAAAGGTTTCATTTCAAATAAAATTGATTCCAAGAACTGTTTGGTTTTCAATTTGCCTCAATTTACCTTCATTTCACTTTACCGACAACAATTTGACGAATTAATCTTTCAGAATATTTAAATAAGATGGCACACGTAACGGCTAAAACTGAACATGGAAGTAAACACCAATCACAATTTTGTCCAAATGTTACTAAGAGGAAGTAGATGATTCAGCCTCAATTCTGTTTTACCGTTCAATCAGATCTGAATCTTAATTACTTGCCACACCTTGGAGATATATCTCCAAGCCAAAAAAAAAAAAATCAGTATTGCAACATCCCAATTTTCCTGGCATTGGAGGGAAAGAAAATCCCAGGTTCCTGCTTCCCTTTATAAAAGCAGCTTTTCCATTTCCCTACTAGGCAGCTTAGATCAGATTTCAACATCCCCTTGCTTTCCATTTCCCTCACAGGAAGTACTTTCTCCATGTCGATCATACTGAATCCTTTTTTAGCCTTGTAGAACATCTTTATGAAATTACCCCCGATTTTCACTACTCAAGGGAATATCAGCCAAATGCACACTACCTCCATGTAATCCTCAGGCCCCAGTTCCATCCAGAATTGGCCTGCCACCCTGATCTGACATGCCTCATGTCCACCTTCCCACCCATTCCTTATGACCCTTGACTCCCTGACTGATCAAGAATCTATTTCAGCCTTAAAATATACACAAGGACTCTACTCCCATAACTGTGCGACAGTGTTCGAGTCAATTCAGAGAAGAAATTCTTTCTAATCCAAGTCTTAAACTGGCAGCCCTTTATTCCAACTATGTGCTCCAGTCCTCATCTGTCTCATGAGGGGAAACATCCACTCAGTATTTTCCCTGTCAAACCCCTTAAAAATTCTATATGCTTCAACGAGATCACCTCATTTTTCTAAATGCCAGGTGAGTAGAATCCCAACCGTTTTAGCCTTTACTCAAGACAATCCCTCCATACCAGGGATCATCCAAGTGAACCTTCTCTGAACTGCCTCCAATGGAATTAAATCTTTCCTTCAATAACGGGGACCACAACTGCTCGCAGTACCCCAGATGTAGTCGCACTAGCACCTTGACAGTTACCGTAAAACTTCCCTACTCTTACACTCTAAGCCTCTTGAAATAAGGGCCAACATTCCATTCACTTTCCTGATTATCTGCTGCACCTGTGTGCTAGTTTTCTGTGTTTCATGCACAAGTACTCCCAAATCCTTTTGTGTTGCTGATCTTGGCAGTTTTCCTCTGTTTTTATGTTCTCCCTTCCAAACTTAACAACTCCACATTGTCCCACATTATACTCTGTCAACTTTTTGCCCACTTAGGTAACCTCTTAATATCTCTGTAAGCTGCTTGTATTCCTGTTGCAACTTTCCTGTCCAGCTATTTTTGTGTCATCTGCAAATTTTGTTACTGGATATTCACTTCCTTCCTCCAAGACATTAATATATACTAAATAGTTGCAGTCTTAGAACTAATCCCTATAGAACTCCAGGAGTTACAGGTCACCATCCTGAAAAAGAACCCCTTAGAAGTTCAAATACAACACGTCTATTGGGTCAGTTAGTTCAGTTGGTTTGTGATGTAGAGTGATGCCAATAGCGCAGGTCATTCCCACACCAGCTAAAGTTACCATGAAGGTCCCCACTTCTCAACATCATCCCATGCCTGAGGCATGCTGACCCTGTGGTTAAGCCACCACCAGTCATCTCTCTCTAATGAGAGAGTACCCTATGATCCTCTGGGACTATGGCGACCTCACCTTATCAAAGACCAATTTATGCTTTTGTGAACAGCAGTGCTGAAAATCGAACACAGAATTCCAAATAGCATTGGACCAAAGTGCTGTGCAACTGGAGCATAATTCCACCTGTCTTCCCAACCTTCCCTCAGTTTTCTAATCCAGTTTACTGAGATAAAGGCCACTTGCTACATTGATCACCTTTGGACGTACCCATTCACTTTTAGTGGCTAATACTGACATCCAAATCTTTGTTCCTTTACAGTTCCCACATTCTCTGCACTAAAGAAAGTATTCTAATTTGCCTTTCTTGGATTCAAACTGGATGATTCATTGTTCCTGTGAACATAATTTATCACTGTCCTGTCCACTCACTTAATCTGTAGACCCTTTTGTTTTGGCTGTGCCTCCTAATAGTACAAATCCGTCAATTTGGATATACAGTCATCTATTCATTCACCCATACAAGTCATTAATAAATCTAGTGAAAAGTCAAGGTCCCCAAAAAAGATCATTGGCAACATGACTACTCACATCCTAGGGATGAGGACAAAGCTTTACTTGATGAAATCTGAACTGCACCTGATGTGTTTTGGGAAGAATTTAGAATGAAGTTGATGTCTGCCTTTGCAAATTCCTCAGCGAATAAAGAACAATGCAACAGTCAGATTTACGGAGCATTAACACCAATCCTATACCTATTCCTTCTAACCTGTAATTAGAAACTTCCACAATTAGAAATTAAATTCACAGTAGTGACTCAAAAAGAATAAATTAATTTGAAAATTTCAAGAAACAAAAGAAATCCACACAATTCAAACTTAGGTTAGATTTGGTTACATGCTGTGGTTTATAAAGAATTCCTTTATTTAACGGATGCATACAATTAATGCAGGATCACACATCAAGCTCACAATTAAGCACTAGTTACGCACCCTAACAGTCAGAGCACTATCAAAAACAACTGTGCCAACAAGAGAGGTGTGCCATAGTTGTCATTAAGAACGCATGTTCTAATCAAAAGGCTTGGAGCTGAACTGCTCACGCCTTTTCCCATTTTCTTTGATGTTTTCTAGCAATCACAGAAGCCCTGCAGTGTGGAAACAGGCCATTCGGCCCATCGAGTCTACACCGACCCTCAAAGAGCAACCCAACCCCACTCCTTTCCTGTAACGCTGCATTTCTCATGGCTAACCCACCTAGCCTACACATCCCTGGATGCTATGAGCAATTTTTCATGGTCCATCCACATAACCTGCACATCTTTGGGCTGTGGGAGGAAACTGGAGCACCCGGAGGAAACCTACACAGACACAGGGAGAATATGCAAACTCCACACAGACAGTCACACAAGGGTAGAATCGAAGTTGGGTCCCTGGCACTGTGAGGCAGCAGTGCTAACTACTGAGCCACCATGCCACACAGCAATGGAAGTAATTTAACTGCAGAGGATTTCAATTCAGCAAGTTCCAAGGATAATGAAAACTTGATTGAAAAAACAGGAGAGGCAGCAGCTGAATTTTGAGGCAGAAGGAGATGCACACAAAATAAAGGACTGATAGAAATAAGTGGTGCTATAATTAGCATCAGCAGGAATGAATAAAAAGGTAAATTGAAATTTTCTTTGCAGTAGCCCACTGGAATTCTGAGGAATGGAACTGTTGCCTGTGCAAAAGAAAGAAGATTGAAATGAAACCAGGTAGAATATTTAATCCCAGGACTAAATTTCACTGCACATTGCTGACTGGCTGACTAGCCAGTGGAGAACAATAAGCATTGCACTGAGTTCTAGATCAAGAAAGTCTTTCAATATCTGTATATTCTTATGAATGCACATACACACAGGAAAAGGCTTTGAGACAATCGGTGAGAGGGGAATTGTAAACTGAGCATGGCGAGAGTTTAAGTGAATAGAATAGGAGCTAATTTAGACAGTCCACATGGTTTACAATCAAATAGGACATTTTGAAGTTGAACTCACAAGGGTACACAGCATTTATTTTAAAAATGGAGTTGTTGGCACATCACAGTCTGTAGTCTCAAGAAGCCCAACCCCAAAAATTATTGTGCCCATGCATTTTTAAATTGAAGTCCAACTGCCAAATATCAAAATTTAGAAGCCTTGCAAAAGACAAGTAGTTAGTGTAAACTCTTCAAAACAAAAAGTCTTTCATCTCTTTAATTCCATTATTGAAGGTATCCCCTAACCAGAACAACAGCATGAATGTGGAAAACTCAAAATACAACAATACACAAAACAACAGCACTAATATATCTGAAACCATAAATGAATGATCACTTCCAGCAAATGATGGGCTGCTGCACAATCACTACAAAAAAAAACAGAATGTTACCTTGTGAAAGAACTTGCAATAATCCTTCTTCAGAACATGTAGGACTACTTTCTTCAGCCCATCCAAGTTGTACATATCTGCCAATGTAAGCACTGAACTGCAGGAAAAAATGCCAATTTAGCATGAGGTTTTACTCAATTTGTCATCTTCCTTTCATTTTTTGTTTGTATTTCTTCAGCACTGCATAAAGTCATATTTCACTTGGTGATCGCCAGAATCATGTGTGTATGTACAGCATGTATCTGACCAATGGACCCATAACAATTGTTCATCATCTCAATATGCTGGCAAGTGAAATATTTGTCAAAAGATTTGACACTCCCTCCCAACAGGATGTAGGTTTTGAAATGATTTATTAGCTTGACGTAGAGTTCTCACTTTAGGGTGAATCTATAATTGAAATTGGGATGAAAAATCACAACTGAACCTTGCAAAACTAGCAAAAGTGTTTATTTCCATTGAAGTCTTTATTCAAACTTATTCACATATTACAATAAGCAATATCTGCAATAAGGGCAAATGCAACAGAACAGTGTGTTAAAAAGCATTTTGTGTATTTAAAAGATTTCTGCTTTCAAATTATTCAGATATAATAAGGGTGGTGATAAGGTAGTGCATGATTAATTCAGCCAAATATGGATTTGCCACAAAAATAAAAATTTTAATCAGAGTCAAAAGCCAAAATTGCTGGAGAAGCTCAGCAGGTCTGGCATCATCTGTGGAGAGAAAGCAGAGTTAACATGTTGAATCCAGAGACCTTTATTCAAAATGTCTAGTTAATTACTTGTGGCTATCCTGACTTGAAACGACGTACAATGACTTAAAAATTACATAGAACCATTGATTAAATAGAACCAGTCATTTTTGAATGGGGGAGCAGTCTCAAAGGGCTGAATGACCTACTCCTGCTCCTATATTCAATGTTTCTATGTTCTATAACCATTTGCTAGTTTACTGGGGTACAGTGCTAAATTTCTGAAATTTTTTTTAGAAGTTCAAACATTCCTATTAGCTTTCATAGTAATGAGCTTAATAGTGAAAGCCTCCTTGAAGGTCTGCATATGAGTACAACCATCAGACAATTCCCAATTCAATCTGGGGATGTAGTTAAGTTATGTGGGAAGTCCCCAATTCAAGCACCATCTTTTCTGAAAACTAAAGATCATGGAAACTCACTTAACACACAAGATTCCACAATCTCTTATTCCGATGGTTTTGCTGATTTCAATCAAACTGCACTGAAACCCAGTGAGCAGCAGAAATGCAAGACTATTATAGTTGTTAGACACAAGTAGCTCGGCCTTTCTCAAAAATGGTGAATAATTAGTAAACTTAAATAACAGCTACAAAATTAGTCTTAAGCTTGAATTAGAAATATGTCATGAAACAAAATTCAATTGCAGGCAAATTCTTTTTTGTTGAATTGCAAAGCTGTGGGTCTAAGCAGTTTTCTTTCAGCTCCTATTCATACTCTGGTGCCACAATGTACAGTATTTCCCCACAATGCTGTAGCTGCATTCCTGTAAAACACAACTAAGCAGAAGAATCCTTAATCGCAGATTATTAATAACTGTAATTAGGTCCTATAGAACAGAATATTAAAACATATTCTCTAAGTGAAAACACTGAACATTCCTAAATTTGTAATCAAAATAGCTGTAATCAAAATAGCTGTTAAATAAAGGCACATTTTGTTGAAGCTTTTCCTCTTGCAGGAAAGTTTACAAGAATACAAATTAATGGGAAAACCAATATTTGTAGGCCAGGGTCCAACATTAAATTTGTCCAATTGCAGAATAACATTTGTCAGATAATTCTTTGCACACTCGAGATTATGTTGGCAACCAATTTAGGATTGTCATTTGGGCTCACATTGTAACATGGAAGATATACATGTTATTACACTGCAAACAAAACATGTACGTGCACTGCACCCATGTCAACTAAACAAAACAAGTGACAGTGATTCACTGGGTCAGTTCTCAAGGCAAACTTAACCAGAGTCAAACTACTTGGTGTTAAATTTAAACAAAAAATCTGAGGAGCTTTGGCTCAAAATTGATGAGCTGGAATCCGAACTCCAAACACTGCGACACATCCAGGAGGGGGAGAGATACCTGGATGCTGTGTTCCAGGAGGCAGTCACACCTAGTAGATTAACTAATGTTAATTCAAATCGGTGGGCAGGGACAGCAGGGTGTGACTGCGAGTGAGGCAGGTAGAGGGACCCTGCAGACAGGAACACAGGAGCCGCAGCACTTGACATTGTCCCACAGGTATGAGGCACTTGCTCCCTGTGTGGATGAGGAACAGGGCTGCAGGAAGGATGGGTCAACTGACCAAGGCACCATGGTCCAGGAGGTCATTCAAGAGGGGGAAGCTAAAAGACAGATTGTAGTTGTAGGGGATTCCATTATCAGGGGGATAGACAGTATCCTTTGCGAGCAGGATAGAGAATCCCGCATGGTGTGCTGCCTGCCCGGTGCCAAGGTGCAAGACATCTCTGACCGGCTTGAGAGGATACTAGACCGGAGGGGGAGGATCCGGTTGTTATGGTCCACGTAGGTACCAACAACATAGGCAGGACTAGGAAAAAAGACCTGCTGTTTCAGGATCATGAAAAGCTAGGAACAAAATTAAAAAACAGGTCTTCAAGGGTCATAATCTCTGGATTGCTGCCCGAGCCACGTGCAAATTGGCATAGGGAGGCGAGGATCAGGGAAGTAAACACGTGGCTAAAAGAGTGGTGTGGGAAAGAGGGTTTCCTTTTCATGGGGCACTGGCATCAGTTCGGGGACAGGAGGGATCTATACTGCTGGGATGGACTCCACCTGAACAGGGCCGGGTCCGGTGTTCTGGTGAAAAGGGTAAATAGGGTGGTCAATAGGACTTTAACCTAGTAAGTGGTGGTGGTGGTGGTGGGGGGGGCAGGGGGAGTGAGCATAGAGGGAGAATAACTATTAATGTAAGGCAAAGCAGCAGGCTAGCAGGTGACGAGGAAGCTTCAACTCCATTGAAAATTAGGAAAAAAGTTAGAGGGAAGGAGAACTCAAGAGCTGTTAGTAATGGAGGTGATAGGACCCAAAAAGAAGGTGCAAAAACTGGCATAAGGGCACTTTATCTGAATGCTCAGAAAATTTGAAACAAAGTGGATGAGTTGATGGCGCAAATCATGGCAAATGGGTATGATTTAGTGGCCATTACAGAGACATAGTTACAGGATGGTCATGACTGGGAATTAAATATCCAGGGGTATCAAACTGTTCGGAAGGACAGACAGGAAGGTAAGGGAGGTGGTGTTGCTCTGATTTTTAAGGATGACATCAGGGCAGTAGTGAGAGATGATATAGGTTCTACTGAACAAAAGGTTGAATCCATTTGGGTGAAAATTAGGAATAGCAGGAAGAAGTCACTGATAGGTGTGGTCTATAGGCCACCAAATAATGACATCGTGGTGGGGCGGGCAATAAACATAGAAATAGCTAATGCATGTAAAAATGGTACAGCAATTATCATGGGGGATTTTAATCTACATATCGATTGGTCAAACCAGGTCAGTCATGGCAGCCTCGAGGAGGGGTTCAAAGAATGCATCCGCAATAATTTCCTTGAACAATATGTAATGGAACCTACGAGGGAGCAAGCTATCCTAGATCGAGTCCTGCGTAATGAGACAGGAATAATTAATGATCTCACAGTTAGGGATCCTCTCGGAAGAAGCGATCACGGTATGGTCGAATTTAAAATACAAATGGCGCGTGAGAAGGTTAAATCCAGTACCAATGTCCTGTGCTTAAACAAAGGAGACTATGATGGGATGAGGGAGGAGTTAGGTAAGGTAAAATGGGAGCAAAAACTTTATGGTGGGTCAATGGAGGAACAGTGTAGGACTTTCAAAATGATTTTTCACAGTGCTCAGCAGTAGTATATTCCAGTGATAAGGAAGAACTGTAGGAAAAGAAATAGTTAACCATGGATGTCTAAAGAAATAAAGGAAAGTATCAGATTAAAAAAAAAACATACAAAAAAGCAAAGATTAGTGGGAAACTAATAGACTGGGAAATCTTTAAAGGCCAACAGAAAGCCACAAAAAAAGTT